TACTGCAACAGTTAAGAAAACATCACTGTATCAAAAACAACCAAGACTGGCGAAGAGCCAGTCCTCACATCTTCAAAAAAACCTCTCACTTGTTGCTTTTCTGGTTTTCTAAAAAAATGTGTTGAACTACTAACCCGCATAAAGAGTACAGATACTGCTAAAAATATTTTAATTGCTCTTTCAGGTGGCCTTCTTACACATAAGAGGGCAATCAATGCACAACTCAGAAACACATCACTTTTTCCTTGTTTCCAAAACCTTTTATACTCAGTCATGTATCTTAACCACGGTGACGCCCCTAAATGGACATGAATACCCAATTTAGCAAGCAATTGTTAATAAGTATCTTCAAAGCCCAAAGCTCTTTTTTCATCTCAACCCTACTTTATTTTCAGTAGAAACAGTAGAGTAAAATGCAGAATTTCTAGAACTGCAGTCGATGAACACTGAAAGAGCTCTAATGCTACGTAAAACCTAGTTCCACAAGGTCCATGGAGGTTTTTTCCCCCGAAGACAACTGCAGATGATAAGCAGCCAAAACATTAAAATGCATTATTTATGCATATTTCTAAAGTTTCTGACAATCACCCTGATCATAATCATGCAGTGTCTCAGCACAAATGATTTAAATCAAAATTGTAGCTAAAGACAGTCAACTCTTAATAATCTTCAACGCAGATAATGTGTTGGCAAATAAAACACATCATGGATGTTAGTGCAGGCTGCACTCTGCTAAATGCAGTTGTATCATTTCCAAGGGCTGTGCAAGTGCCAAAGCAGAATGACCATTTCACAAGGTGTGAAGAAACTGAACAAAAACGGGCAACCAGATCTTAGCAGCTTCTGTTCTGGGACAGTAGAGGTCTCTGACAATGGAAAGCCCTGGAGGGAAAAGGAAGAAGCTTGAATCCAAACTGAATTCTCAATTTGGGCTCACTACAAGTAAGCCCAGCCACCATCACGAAGCCAAGAACAGGCAGGCATCTGTGCACTCCTCAGTGTAACAAAAAAGTTTTATCATCAACAAAAAACGCTAGATCCACTTGGTGCTACCACTGCAGCTCAACTCTTCTGTCCTTCCAGAACCAGGCACACCAGCACCTTGGTGCAGAACCATCTGGATGAACCCGTGACACTGACTAAATGAACACTCACACAGCACTGTTGAGAAACCACTTAGCTCATATAGTTACAATTACCTAGGATAACTGCAATTCCCCTATCCCACTCCACCCTCCAGTGACCCAAACAGTCAAGAGTTCACAATGGCTGTAAAAACAGTTAATGCCTCAAAAATGTAAATTGTTGTGTGTTTTGTTTTCAGAGGGGATTCAAGAAAGAGTACTCAATTTTAAGAACAGTCTTCAGGAAAAAGCCTTGTAGAAATTAACATTTTTGTTCCAATTTCAGGATCTATCCCAGTTTCAAGGTAGTGTCAATCTTTAGGACAGTGAAAATGTTTTATATATATATATAAAATAAATTATATATTATTATATTATATACATACTATATAATGAATATTATTAATGAGAAAAAAATGTACCAAAAAAATGTTGAGCTGTAATTACATTTAGGGAACACTAAATCATACTGTAATCATTTTGCAGCCTAGAGAGATACAGATTTGCTTCTTGAAAATTTCGTATTCAGCTCTGGTAAAGATTACGTATCATTTGGAAGAGATACAGAGAAGCAGAATGAGAACAAACATACTTCATACAAGGCACACCCCATCAGTCTGGGCCCTCCATCTTGAAAAGAAGACCAAGGAAGTATATGACAAAGGTCGATAAAACCACAAGCCGTACTGAAAAGGTGACCATAAAGTAACTAGTTTTTATCATTTCCTTTGACTTGGCACCTGCCAAGTGGCATCAAATAGCAGTGTGATTTAACAGATTGAGAACAAACTGGTTAACAACTTTTACAAATTGTACAGATCAGCTGTCAGATGCCTTGCCATCCAACCAGCCTTACAGACACTAAAACCTTGCACAGAAGTGTACAAGTTAACTGTGTGATAGGCTTTTGTTCTATTAAAACACAAAACCAACATCACTGAGTCCAAAAGTACCAAAACATACATACCTGTAGGCTGGTACTTTATTCTGAGAAAGCATACAAGAACTTGACCAAGAATCTGATTCATACTGATAAAGAGAGCAGGCCAAACAAAGTCTGGCCTCAATAACGGGATCCCCTTCTTTGTATACCCCATACTGACACTTTCAAGTCCTGTAGGAGATGTGTGACAGACTGTTCCAAGAATGCTGCATTTATCCTATCACTGAAAACTCTAATGCCTTAATTACTGTGACACTGGAAAACCCAACATTACCCCCCTCGGCAACTGTACCAGTAAGCATAACTAAGGGAAAGATGACGACTCCAAACAGAAATATCAAACCTAGAAAGCAAATTTAAAGGACAATATCTCTCCAAAAAGTCAAATAAGCTGTAACAGAAGAGTAAAAGGAGGGGGAGGAAGAACATGCACGAAAGAACCTCACATGACACAGGGAAGGAAAGTGGACAAGAAGGAAAAAAAAAAACCACCATCACTGTTTCCTAGTTGATAATACCTGTAAACAATAGAAGTTTAATTCCTAGACTACTTTGCCATCTTTGCCATATAGGTTATAGTGCCCAGGAACTCTGAAAGGCAAGATAACACCACTGCACACAAGCAGTGCTGGTTAGCTGCAGGTTAGGCTGCTTCCAGATACAGCGGAATTAAGGCAGCTTTAGGCTGCTGCTGAAAGAACAGTCCTGGCCATTTTCTGGTATCAGCATTAAGCATGGTCAGCTGGGGCAAGAGAAGCCCAAAATGAACCCAGGGGAAAAAAAGTGAGTTTTAAATACCAATGCAATCAAAGGATGAGAGAGCAATGCATAGCAAGGAGTCTACCTGCAGTAACAGCGTCTTACCGCAGGTTAAGAGAATCATGGACCTCTACAGTAAAAGCTCATTAGACAAAAAGCATTAAGATACTGAACACAAAATACAGCATCTTGAATACCTAAACAAACCACTTTTTCATGTTAGTAAAAAGCACATATCCAGAAGACTGCTGCAAAATACATCTATACGTATATACACCCGCATGAGCAGCAGACCATGTATGCATTACTGGCATATTCAAATCTAAAATTGCCTTGGTTTTCTGGCCAATAGCATAAAAAAAAAAAACTATTAACCTACTGTAAAAATAATTTTGACCTGACAAGCCCATGATATGACCTTCTACAGTATTACCTTAAGTCTTAAACTGCTTTGGCACAATCTTTTATTAGGCAACACTTCCAAGGGAAAGCTTCAGATTAACAGTGTAGGTTTCTGAAATACAACACTGCTCAGAGTTCATTTTTTCCAAGGTTCACATCCTTCTGTAAAGCTGTTACTTAAAGGACATTTGGTCCATAAAGTAGGATTTGCTGCATTCAACACCATCTATTACTAAGGAAGAGTTGTTTCCAAGAAGTAAAACATAAATCCTCAAGATTTCTCTGCTATGAACTTTGCGCTGATGAAAATAGCTGGCCATGAAAATTAGAGTAGGGACAATCCTCTTTGTACAGTGTAACATCTTTGCTATTAAAATAATTTCAATCATATGTAGTCATTCACTTTCAGACAAATTCATCATTGCAAAGAACGTAGCTGCAAGAGAGAATCAGTAGGATGCTCGGATATTTGATGCACACTGTCAAAATATGCTCTCAAAACTTTTTTGAAGGAAAAAAATTGCCACACAGAATAGCAAGACATTCCCAAACACTACTTTAAGTATAAAGCCAGAAAACACTCCAGTTGCCATTTCTGAAGAAATTAATTCCACACTGCCAGGTATCAACTTGTCTGAGAGAGAAAGAATGGTTTTGAGGCTAAAGTATGGGCTGCCACTTCAGAGGTAGTTTTTACTTTCACTGACACCCAGACTGAGACAATCTCCCAACACTCACAAATGATGCTAGGTTTGCTAATATGTTCTAGATAAGCAAACACTAGAGTGCTGAATACTAGAACACACACTGCACATTATAGTCAAAGCACAGAAAGGGAAAGGGTAGATCAGCCCAAATGCAAGCAGGCTCCGTGCTCAGGCAACTCAACTGCATCCACACTAAGCTGAAGGTTAAAAAAAAAAAATAGGTAGAATACTATGTTTGCAGCGTAAAATCTCCAGAACACAATTAACACAGCCTGTCCAAATGAAATCCAGGATCCTGATCACCCTACCTCCTCTCACAAGAGGAGGATCTCAGTATCAAAGTGACTAGATTTACAAACAGGTGATGCGTAACGATTTAGAAGCATCTGGTAAAGACAGAAGAGGGCATTCCCAAAGTGACTGGAAACTTAACTGAAAGATTTCGTTTACGCCACTCAGCTATTAGCAAAAATCTAACCAAGCCAGAACATTCAGTGGAGACTTTTTTTTTTTTTTTAGCACTTCTACTTAGCAGATGCAGATATGATGATAAGCTGAATGATACAATTAGAAGGATGCAAGGGACAGGTAATCATTACTGCAACTTTTCAGCTCTAACTCCTCTCTTACAGAACCTATTGGTAAACCAAGCATGAAAGAGCTACCCTTTGAAAATGCACCGGTGCATTCAGTCAGGGCTAGACAAAAATCCACTTCCCCATGAACAATGCACTTTCAACAGCTTCTGTAAGTGTTGAAACTCCAACTAAATCCACAAAATGTTTCCATTTCCCCCACAAAATCTTTTGTTAAAATGCAGTTTCTCTTTTGTGTAACTTTTATCTAAAAGTAAAATTAAGAATAATGATCCATGTTCTCAAAGAAATTCATCCTAAGCTGAACAACTAAAGGTTACTGTAAAATAGTTCTCTTTCCAAACCAGCCAGCGTGATAGACTGGTTGCTCATTTTCATTCGTTGTTAGGATCCCTACATATTCTTTGCACAGTCTTATTTCCCTCACATAAAATAAGAGTTCACAAAAAAAAATAAGAATAAAACTTACCCCCATTATCTGTTCTCTTTAAAGCACCATCCTTATGAGGGCATAATTCACATCTCTAGGAAAAAAAGCAAAAATAAAATAAAAAAATGGAATGATCATAGAAGCATTACAAAAGAAACCACACAAATCAAATCTGTTAGGTGTCATTAAAAAAGTAGCCATTCTTTAAAAGCGAATGGGTAATTTTCCCTTAACCCTTACTTGGGTGTTAATATTAGTCTGCCACAAAGCCTTCTCCTTCAGATCTTAAAACCCCAACATGTTTAAGCTATTCACGGTTCTACCCCCAAGTTTTAATTCCTGGATTCCACACCCTGGCATCCTGGAGACAAGTCTCCAAGAACACCAGAATGGGGTAGGCTCCCTAAACAGGAACTTGGGTGCAGTCCAAAGACCCCCTACTGTACTGCTCTCTCCTGGGATCTCCCTGTTCACCAAGATGGTCAATCACTGTGCCATGGATGTAATTAGTACAAGTGCACACTCTACAGCTGGCTTCGCAGTCCCTGCTGACTCTCACTTATTCTGACAAAGTAAAAACAATTTTGCTTTCTGTTTCATGAAAAGGAGGTCAAAAGTTGACTCATCCCTGAAATTCCCAAAGACTGCATGCCTTGAAAGATGCTGCTTGACATCCTATTCTTCTGACACATACCAGGATGACAACAGCACAATCTTTCTGCTACAGCTGCTTCTATCAACTTCCTAATATCCAGTTCATCTCTAAGTGTCCCAGAGCAGCATGAATCAATTCCAAATCAGTTCCGAGATGACAGAAACGGAACAGGTTTGATACACATTCAACTGGTCTAAATGACATGCAAAGGATCACTGCTACACAAGAACCTACACCCAGACATCGTTACAGCCTTTATGTATTCCTTAATCAGAGACAACTCCAAGCACACCAATCTAACAAGTTTTTTAAGAAACTGAGGAACAGTCAGCTCTTCAGATGCAAACTTAATACCGCATCCTTCAAACGGAGAGGGACATCGGGCATCAGTACAGATCTCCTCTGTGCTCCCTGAGCAGCACAAGTCTCCATTATCAGCCAACTGGCAAGCCAGCAGGTAAGGGAGCCTATGATGCTCTAAGTCCCTCTGAAACAGACTGCCCCAACTTACTGGAGGAATGAGAAATCCCATTCCTGAAACTCATACAGATGAGGAATACCTTCAGGACTACCTACTCCCCTTAACCTGTAAGGAAACTGGTGTTAGCAGCAAAGAGGCTTTCATGAAGGGTAGCACAGAAAAGTTTGTGAATTATTTTTGCTGAATACATTTGTACAGACATATGCACAGGAGAAAAAGAGAATCTTCATGATTCCTGCTTTTTGTCTCTTGCTTCGTTCATCATCTCCTTACAATGACCTGCTAAAATGATGAGCAATTTATTACAAGGCAGTATTAAGTCCACAGTGAAATTTAGAGGTCGAAGTGTTTGAAAATTTCTGAACCATTTTGTCACTGCCTGCAGACTCAGAGCACTATACCAGTACTTTTTCAAGTCAAGACTTTTTATCCAAGCCAGGACTCTCTTGCAAACTGCAATGAACTATCACTACATTTTAAACAACACCTTACACAGCCAGTACTCAGCTGTATCTTCACACTTCAGCTCTCCAAACACTGAATGCAAGCAGCTGAGAGACACTTGGTAACAGGTTAAATTTAATGAATTCCCCATACACTGGATCATATTCTCAGCCTGGTGTATGTGACAGTGCCCGTGCTGTAGTCTGTTCCCACCCCGGAGCTGTGAGCTGGCAGCTTAAGGGCAGTGAGCTGCAATGATGTATCTAGCACAGAGACAGGGAAACTTAACACAGCCTTGCCCCACCTCTGCAAGCCTGTGGAAGTTTGTCATACATTTTCACTAGTGGCAAAACCAGTCGAGGAGGTTCTCATCTCCTTCACTTCGCCACTCCCTCATTAATTTCTCCTTCCACCACCCCCACAGCTGCTAACCCAACCATCTGTAAGGCTGCCACTTAAACCATCGCAACAGAGTGAAGCAGCCCATTGCTCTTTAACACTTTTAATCCAGGTCCTCTCTCTGACGGAGTTCACAACCCAACCCAACAATCAGCTATGCTGGCAAAACTGAAGGCAAGGAGCTGCAGCATTCATGAGTAAGGAACAAATGGCTTGAGCAAACTTCACTGCAGAATGAAAACTTAGAAATAATCCCAGGCCACCACGTGAGAAGGAACTGAACCAACCCTTTATGTGTAAGAGCCGAGCCTGCTCCCTTCAGTCTCTTCAGAGCTCAGTTTCAAGCTGATTTATTTTTGTCTCCTATCCCCATAGGGCTCAGGTCCATTAGGCCTCCCCTCATTACTCCTGCACAGCCCCAGCTGCACAGAGAAGATTTAAGATAGGAGACAGAAAACTGAATTGGAGGAGGGAGCCTTGGCAACAGAAGGAAACTCGAGCGTTGGGAGCTCTGCAGAGCATCCTCTCACAGGCACGGAGCTGTGTGCCTGCTTTCAGGGAGCTGGAGACCCCTGCAGAGATACCTGCAACTGAAGACAGGCAGCACGTCAAGTGCTGTGAATCCTGGCTGCGTCCTGCAGCAGAGTAATGTCATCATAATCTAAGGTACCACAGTGACCCTTGGCCCTTTTCCCTCTGGGTTATGAATCTAACTCGTTCCCCGCCTACACACACTCAGCTCCTGCTACCTGTTCTGCTCTCCCTGTTTTCAACAGGCACCACGCAGTAAAGCCAGCAGTTTTGCCACGTGGCCGTGATGTGCCTCAACCCTGCCTATTTGAGACAAGAAACTAAGGTCGCAGACGATTTTTGCATTATATTTGAACTAACGTTTTATTACTAGCTCTAAAAATCTGACAGCAATGTACCACTTTAGAGAAGTGATTCGTTTCAGCTGAGAATGTTCTTACAAAAGACTCCGCAGGAGAAAAGAAACGAAAAGCATCCACATAGACGTACCCCACAAGTCCAGTTCCTTGTAATTCCTTATTTGAACATCCAAGCAGCGCCTCCTTCTCCAAGTTAATTTATGGACAAACCTTAGCATTTACGTGAACAACAGCTGAACGTCTCTGCTAAATGCCATACCCCATATAACTCACACAGGGGAACAAAGCTTCTATCTCCGCACCAGTTGAACAAAGGGTTCTGTAGGGTTGGGGGAATGATCTGTAATATTCACATGCAGACGATGCCTGGGCTCTCTTCTCCAGCTGTAGGCCATAAGTCTTAGCCATGGCAAGAGGATTTGGAGATTTATTGTGTAAGAATTCAAAAACGTTCTGTGAAACTACTGAATAAACTCAGGGGAAGGGAGGGACGACACCATACGTAAAATGAACATGGCATGTTTGTGCCCAGCAAGAGCAGGGCAAACTCCTGACTGATCAACTACTTGGATAAACAATGTCAGGTGAGACAGTGCACGTGTAAATACCAAAAGGCTGACTGTGATCCAAGGGAATAACCACATCCTTTGCCGTGTGGAAGGGCTCTAATCCTGGAGCATGGAAGGGCACGAGCACGTGATGAGCACATGTGGTGCTGTAGGCACAGACAAATGAATTAAATCTGAGGGAGGAGAGTGGAAAAAATTCCAATATTGGCTCTCAAAATGTAACGTGGACATCTCATTTCTGCAAGGCTTTGGTAGAACAGTCTAAGTTCACGGATAAAGCTTCTGTCCAAGCATAACTCAGGCAAACTCACAGCAGGAATCGCTTGGGACTGCGAGGTCTCCTGTAGAGGAGTAAAGTGAAAACAGTCTCCAAGATCTGTATCTGGAACTGTCTGACAGTGCAACTGTCACAACTCACTTCAGAACCACATAAATAGCAAGTTCATTGAGCGAGAGAAGCCCAGCCCTGTAACCTTAGCACCCAGATGAACCAAGGCTGTCTGGGTCTGAAGAAAAACCCACTGACTCCTGTGGGGCTCAGTCTCAAAAGTCACCCAGCAGAAACCTTAAGTGCTGACAATCAAGGAAGGCCCATGGAGAAGGGGAACAATTTTTTTTTGTCCATTGTTAAAAAAGTAAAAATAATCCAGAAAAAATAACACAGCAAAATAAAAAGAGTAAAGAATTAAGGCATCCACTAAAGACTGAAAGAGCAAAATGAGACAAGCAAAGCAAGAGTTAAATAAACTCATCTTCCTACACCGAGTTACAATATACATTACAGTTTGGCTCTACCACATTAGGGCCCCAAATTTTCTCCCCATTTTAGATAAATGCACCTTTTCGTTTTAACCAGGATTAACAACTAACTAAACCAGCAGTAGATATTACACAAGTCTAATTACTGGATTATTGGCCTTTCTTATTAAGCCCTTTTGGTTAATCTATCTGCACTGATTTTTCAATTAGAAAATGAGAAAAGACAGCGAAACTGATTTAATCCAACAGCCCAGATTATTCATGCTGAAATGAAGAGAAAGAGACGCTTATGTAGTAGGTAAAGTAGGTAAATAAGAACAAGACTATACAAGCAGGAGGGAAGACAAGAAGAGTCTTAGGAATATAACCTTGTTCTCCCCTCGGGGTTCTCTACATTTGGAGCAAGTTTCGTAATTTGGAGAGATCCATTTTAGACTGCACCTTGTCATAAGGAAACAGAACCTGAAAAATCCTTACACAAGCTCTTAGCGAGCTGTGACCCGAGTTGGGCCAATGGAGCCATTCCCCTGCGCAGTGACTGTCCAGCCAAGCCAAGTCCTGCAGGCCTGACTCCTGTGTTACAGTGATGCAATGAATAGGGTGTCTCAATGTGACCTGTTAACCCAAATAACCCAAAAACATCTACAGCAGCTCAAAGAGACCACGGTTCCTAGCTGCTAGCTGAGAAACGAGGCTGCAGTTCCAGCTGACTTTAATTCAGCCTCACTGGAAGCTAACATAATTGCTGACTGCTGCCAAAAGAAGATCACTGGCCATCTCCTGCTGTGTACTTTCTACTGCCTCCCTTGCTCTGGGAAGAGCAATCATTTGACCATATGGAAATCCTGATCGGCAAGCTAAAAATAAAATACTCCTCCCTTCTCTCCCCCCCCACCCAGTTTTCAGCCAGACCACTTCTCTGAGCCATCCCTCCATATGGCCGTATGGGCACCTCCACCAGATAAAGGACCTATCAGGAACACCAAGAGGGAGCAGGACAGGAACGCAGCCACCCCGTAGTAATACGGATACATTTCTTAGGCTATCATTTTTAACCTGACACTCAGACATTCCAAGTTTTGGAACAGGCATCAGCCATGTGTGTAGACTGCTTACAAGCCTATTTTCCATCCCAAATGGCACTGTACCCAGCACGACAGCTAAGTTTCCAGGATAGTTTTCATCCCTAGGATGTTTTGATGACAGAATTACTGTTTTACAGTGCTTGACAATGACAAACAAGATTTAACTGAAAGGAAACCTCTTAAAGATACTCCACCACATGACCCTTAAAGTTACAACACAATGCCTTATGAAATACACTGCTAAACAGCATTACACCAAATTAGTATCACAGTTCTTGAAACCTTGCCTTTAATCACATCAATCCTTTCCTTGACAGAAGTTAAACTTGACATACAAACCATTTTATTCTGCCACTCCTGTTAATCATTACCCAGCTGACTTTAAGTCCGTTTGCTTTTGATGCAAGTTTTAGTTCGTGTTTTTAGTGAAAACAGACCCTGCACACACAAACTCGGAACTTTCTTTAACTTAGCCTAGGAGACAGCTGCCAGGCAGAAATCATTTTTATGCTTTACTTCTGAATCTGCTTCAAAATACATCTATTTTAAATCACTGGGTATTCCCACCTGTATCTAACTGCACTAACTCAGGACATTCCCCCAAAGCACGGGGATGGACTTAGAAAGGTAAACCAAAGCAGCCCATACCGAAGTTAGTTTCTAATCAGGGGCTTCCTCACTGGCAGCTCCTGATGCTCTCAGCAACCTCAGCATCCCACTTATCAGTAGCTGTGGGGGCCTTCAGCACAGCTGATGGTGTCCAGGTACTCATCCCCCAAGTTTTGCGGTGCAGCTTCACCTAACACCAGTAGTCCATCCCATTTTGTGTCACCCCATGGGTGTTAGAAGGAGAAAACACAGAAGTCACCTCTGATGCTCTTTATCACATGTAAGAGGATCTTTCCCAATCCTATAGGCTTTGAATATGCTAGATAGTATTAGACACTGCTACTTCAGATAATAGAAAGCATCTTCATACAAGTTAAAAAACTGGTTTAGAAGGGTAAAGACATCCACATGGGTAGTCCCTGCAGTTAATGTTTTGATGCTGGCAGATGTATGCCCATTGCTGTCCAAAATTTTAAAATACTGAAAAAAAAAGGTTATCTAGAAAATATCTCTGGATACAAAGTTGATGATAAATCATGCCTAAAGTTTGAGACTTGCCAATGCTGCTAAAAGTAACCCTACCCACATGTAACTGAAGTTGAATTCCTTCATTCCATTTTTTGATGAAAAATTATCTTCTAAGCCAGAAACATTCTTCCTCTATATTTTCCTTCTCCCCTAAATTGTATGAAATTAGTATCCCTTCCTCTCCAAACAAAGGAGGAAACCTTATGTTTTCTCATCTTCCTTTTATGCTTTTACTTCTACATCCCTCCTCTTCCTAATGTTTTGGCCCATTTCTTTGACAGGAAAAAAAATGCATTGAAATGAAAACACCGAAAAAAGAAAAAAAAGTTTGGGGTTACTTTTAGTGACTAGGTTGTTAGATTCAGGCAGACATGGGACTGAACAGCCAACGTAAACACGGCTTCCTCTATATACAGACAAAATACTCTGAAACGACTTGCATAAAAATATAATCATTGAACGACAGACAACGACAAAAAATTGCAGAGTGGGGCATACCAATATACTGGAAATTTAGATCTTGGCATATATTCTATCAACAGATGAGAATTCACAGGCGGTTCATACAAAAACAGACCCAGCAACAGGATGTACACCAGACTGACCATGTCTACATCTGCTGGCAATAACTTACCCCAGCCCTCAGAACCCAGTGACATTTCATTTTTCCATTCACCTCCTCAAACTATCTCGTGTGAAGCAGAACTGATACTGCCAACATGGAAAGCCAAGCCAGAGAACATCAACCTTGCAGCCCTTGAAACCTCCAGAAAACCCCTTGAAATTCACGAGCATTCCCAGGTGCTACTGAAATCACTGAACCTTCACTCACACCAAACTCAGGCTACCTGTTCACACCAAACCCTTCTACTCTGATATTTTACTAATATTTTCTTTGATGATTTTCCCTTAAAACCAGTTAAATACTTTCAAACCTCCCATTAGAGTTTAATTCTTATTTTTCAAGCCCTTGCCTATTATTACTTACCGAAGTCAATTTCCATTTTCACTTGTTCAATACAACAAAAAGGATTAATTATACGTAACTTCTTTTCTAAAAGCTGTTGGAATATAGAGCCCAGCCAATACTGCTATCGAGATAACAGATAGCCTACAGTGTTATCTACATAACACACAATATCTATAATATCCGTGTAAAGTATCTGACTGCTATGTTATCAAATCCACATTTCCTTATTTATCAGTTCCTAAACTATAGCTTGCTAGCAAGATACCTTATCAATAGCCTCAACTTGCAGTATTTCAGAATTACGACCTTATTCATAAATACACCAAATGCTCACCTTCCGTATTTTGATCCAAATGGACAGCTTGCAACAAGTATCTGTGGTTAGCTACTTGCTGACTTTTGCTACGCAATTTTTCCAAACAAGAAACCCCAAAAAAAGCAAACTACTGAAGTTGCAGCGTTTCTAACCTAAGATTTATGCTAGGCTCCAGTGCTTACAAGCCACAGCAAAGAACCAACAGGAATCAGAAGATGTTCTGCCACTATAGGGAGAGCATTCCCGAATCCCCAACCGGCTGACACCACTAATAGAGCAAACGAACGCGTGCTGTCAGTACTTCTCTTCCAAAGTGCTATGTTCTGCAACTTGACAACTTAAGAAATTAAGTCATCTCCCTCTTCAAATAATCATTTCTTGATGCTGACAAATTTGCCAAATCTCTGCCCTATCTCTATTCAGTCATCTGTCCCAGGAGGAGATAACTTTTTTTCTTTAAGCAGGCAGTTGACAGGTAAAAGAAAAACAGAGTGACTACCTGAAGCATTTTGGGCTTTATACCTGGATAAATTACAGAGACTCGACCTAGTTCTCTTTATCAAGGCATCAGCTAAAGATATATGCAGATTCAGTTAGCTCTGTCAAAAACATCTAGTACAGGCAATAAATTTACAGAATATGACAAGAAGATTAGAGGCACTCAACATGCAAATCAGCATTCTTCCCAGGCCATCCAGGCAGTACGTACTGCAGGGGACATGCAGGCACACTTTCACTCAGCACACGTAAGCTAACGAGAAGAGAGGTGGTAACACGCAGAGCAATCCAACAGCCGTGATGACACGCAGCTCCAACCTCCCAAGTGCAAAGCCATGAACTTCCCACTACAGATTTAAGACCAGCAAGTCCTGACACATTACAGGAATCCAACTATAAGCACACACACAATTTAGAATTAACTACTTATCTTAAATAGGAAG